GGGGGGGGGGGAAGGGAACAGAGAGAGATGAAACAGAGCGCCATAGATCAAAGGACACCAAAACTTTGCACATCAGGAGCACGGCAGGGCACCGCACAATGAAAAAAAACAGGACGGGGTATGCTTCCAAGGACACTCTTTCCCGTTGTAAGGACACTTCCTTTTTACAAAACACACGGGTGTCTACAGCGGGGACGACTGCACTGCCCTAACAAACACGCCTCTTCCACACACGACCCCAACCCGTTTTGGGATCTAACAAAAGCCGCCTCTGCTGGAACTCCTACATTCACTCCTGTCAATACAGTGGTTGTCCCGATGTACCGCTATCCCGAGCAGTGCGTGTCTCGATGCACCGCGGCAAAAAATCGCTTGTCACGGGGATTTGGCTACCATACTACAGTACATGTTCCCCATCACTCCATAGTGCGGTGCCCCGCGATCATTCTTGCCTGTCACTACACGGGTGGAGGAAACGGCAAAACAAGTGCTGTGAGCCCTGATTTTGAAGTCAAGACAAGAAAGAAAAAAACTACACCGCGGTACTTCGGGACCACGTCTGTGTGGGCACTGCTCACCTCTTTCCATGGCTGGCCTTAAGCCCAGATATCCTTAACGGTCGCACTTATGTCAACACGATCTCTAAAAAAACGCCACCGCTCACCTCTTTCCATGGCTGGCCTCAAGCCGAGTTATCCTCAACGGCCGCGGCCACCCGGGTTTCCTGTACCTCCGCAAGTCAAGAAACCCGTCGCGCCTGGCGGTATGCAGCAGCTCCTCAAGCCCCTCGTCGTCAACCGTTTCCTCCTCGATACGGGCGTACGGCGCCAGCAGCGGGTCATCATCATCATCACCTGCCGTACCGCTCCCGAACCGTCTCCCGGCAGCAGCAGCCGCCGCCGCGGCTTCCGCTGAAGGTGGTCCCAGCGTCGGTCCCCCCACTCTCCTCGGAGTAACGGTCAGGCTTCCCCGCCGGGGACTCCGTCGCGGGGAGGCTCGGGTACCGGCGCGCGGCCCGCTGCAGCTGGCGTAGCGGTAGCTTGCTGCGGAGCTGCCTGCTGCCGGAGACAAGCCAGCCTTATCGCGTTCGAGTTTGATGCGAGCCTTCTTGTTGGTAGATGTTGCTGCGTATTCTTCGTCCGCGTTGCCTGCTGCTGTGTCCCTGCCCACGACGCAGGACCGACGTCTGCAAAAAAAAAAAAATGGCGACGGGAGGACAGGTGGTCGCTGAAACGGGCTGGGCCGGGAACAGATCCTTGGCAAAGCTGCCCTACGGTAAAAAACAAAAACGGGTGGTTCACAGCACAAGACTTCATCCCGTGTCGGGTATTCAGGCACGAGATAGCTCGGCAAACGTCTTCGAACGACAGAATCGCGTTGTTGCCAGCGATAACGCATTCTCCAGGTTTTCGGCTACAGCCGCCCTGCAGCACACTGCACTCGATGCTCTCTCTCCTCGCGAACGCGAAACAAAAAAAAAACGCTCACCCACCTCTTCGCTCGACCGCCGAAGCCTACAACCCTCCCTGCGATACCGCCGCCGCCGCCGCCGCCTCCCACCAACAGCAGCGTCTTGCTCCTGGCCTTCTTGCCCGACCGTGGGGTTTGCTGCTGCTGCTGCTGCTGCTGCTGCTGCTGCTGCTGCTGCTCTTGTTCCTGCTGTTGCTTCTGCTGTTGCTTCTGCTGCTGCTGCTGCTGCTGTTGCTTCTGCTTCTGCTTCTGCTTCTGCTTCTGCTGCTGCTGCTGCTGCTGCTGCTGCTGCCGCTGCTGTCGCTGCCCTGCAGCCGGACCGCTCGATATGGCGCAGTCCGCCTCTTCGATGGAGCCATGATCAGGCCCCCCTCCTTCTGGGTGATGTAGAGACTCCTCGTCAAACGCCGCCGCCGCGGGAGCCACAACATCGGTGGTGCTCAAGGCTAGAACTACCGGCGGGGGCGGCGTGTTTGCCTTCCCTTCCTCCTGTCTTCCCTCTCCAGCCCCTCCCCCCGCAGCTGGTACAACTCTTGCTGCCGCCTTGGCGCCCTGTTGGTCAGAAGGAAGCCTTGATGCTCCAACGCTTCCTGCTGCTGCTGCTGCTGCTGCTGCTGCTACTGCTGCTGCCCCTTTTGCGCCCTGCCGGGAAGAAGGATGCCTTGATGCTCCAACTCTTCCCGCCGCCGCTTCCGCGCCCTGCTGGTCAGAAAGAAGCCTTGATGATCCAAGCCTTCCTGCTGCCCCTTCTCTGCCAGAAGGAAGCCCCCGTGGGCGCGGACCGTGGCGGAGACGGAGACCGCGCCGAAGAGCTGCTGCAAGACCAAAAGCCGGACGCTCTTCCTCGACGCCATCACGACCAAAGCCACCTGTACCGTTTCCGTCACCGACGACATGAACCCCACGAGAAACGCAGCTCTCAGTAGCACTAGGGGGCGTCGCCAAATCATTTGCCGAGGCTGAAGTTTCGCGACTTGGCTGGCTTTGCTCTGGTGTCTCTCGGCCCACCTGGCGCTGGGAACCGGAGGGCGCAACATCATGAGCAGGCACCCGCGGTGCTTGAGTAGCCGCCAAAGAAGCCGCCGCTCCTACAGCCGCCATCTCGGACGAAACAGCACTACGGGGTGCAGGGGGGGAGGGGGGGCGTCCGCTCTCTGCCGCGCGGCTCCCGGGGGTGTCGTCATCAAAACGATCTCCATCGCTCTCGTCGTCCTCTTCCTCCTCCGCCTCGTCAGGAGGCGGTGGGGACGACTTCGAGACCTCCCGCAACCATCGCTTGTACCTCTCGAAGAGCTCCGGATTGTCAAGCAGGCATCTCGGCAGCTGGGATGGACGGCAGCGAGGTTGGTTTCCACACGGAGGGGAGGGGGGCAGAGATCACCGAGCGGCAGTTTTCAAGCTACGAGTAGCTACAGAACACAAGGCACCCTCGGCGAAGCACGGGAGGAGAAATATTCGGGCTACCGTTGGGGTACAGGGTAAGCAATTTCTCCTCCAGCTGTGTGCAGTCAGCCCAGTGACAAGAGTATGACGGCGCCGCCAGCTACGAACCGACTCACAAAACTTGACGCTGTCGTGAGAATAACAATACAACTATTCGCACATGCCATGCGCTAGCTCACACATGTCTAATACATAGCACCGTGGAGCAAACTAACACCGACCACCTACGTCCTCCAGACCACCATGATCAGCACACGTAACCTCTCCGAGACCGACAGCGACGGAGAATGCACACCGCCCGTCCATTTACCAAACAACACCGGACAGCACTAGTGCCTCACCCGTCCTAGAGGCATTGGCCCAGCTCTTTGCTTGCCACTTCCCGCCCCAGCCGTTGCGTCAGGCCCACAGACGTGCCAGCTGTGGTCGTTGGCAAAGCCCCAGCCCTCCTTCTCTCGCAGGAACGTCCATATCAGGGGTAGGTCCCGGCTCAGTCGCTTCTCATTGTTTTCATGTCCTGTTCTTTCAACGCCACTGGACAGGGCAGGCTGGCTGCTGCTAGGTTGCTGTTCCTGCTGCCCATCGCGCCCTCCACGCCGGCTACCATCGTCAGAAGGCGCCGACACCATCCTCGGGGGTGAAGCCGCGGCGCTCGCTACCATCGCCTCCCCGCCGGCCATTGCACCGCCACCCGCTTCACGATCGCCCTCGGCAGCAAGCACTTTATTTTCGCCAGAGCTCTCATCGCCAAACCTCTCCTTTGGAGGGGGCATCGGGCTTGAAGACGATTTCAACCAGCGCCTGAATCTTTGAAGGAGAACTGCGTTCTCCTTCAGATAGGACGGCAGCTGTAACGCACCGCCGAAAGAGTGGCCACCACAGTAAGAGGGCGGTGGGGGGCGGGGGGGGGGGGAATGAGGACAGCGGTCATGAGGTAGCCCACCCTGTCTTACACATGACCATGGGATAAAAAAAACTCGGACCAACTTTGTCTTCCAAGTCAACATGGAGCAAACATACCCCACTTACCCATGTCTTTCACATCACAAGGGATACACCCTGCGAAAGAGCTGCCGTGCAGCTCGAGCTGCAAAGGGATCTGATCTGCCCTCAACTATTTGATTGATCTCATTCCTACCTCTGAAGGTTGTGCGTGAGAACTGCCACGGAGGCGTGTCTACGCGCTTGTGGCGGACACTTGCGTTTGGGGGGGCTACCTTGAAGCTACCGTATATGACACAAGATACCACACACCCCCGGACCGATTCTTAAGGCTCGATTACTCCACAGGAGAGAGAATGGCGGTGTGGAAAATAGCGGCGTTGGAGTCATCTCGTCGAGAGCTTTCCGGAAAAGTATTGTTGCATTTTGCATCCTCTTCGTCGTGGAGAAGTCGAGCTTTGAACACCGGTCTGCAACGACACACGTCGAGAAGCACTGCGAACGATCACGACTGCTGTAGGTACTGCTGAAGCAGATGCTCGACCGCGTGAGTTGGACAAGTGTCCCCACTGTCCCAACCTGCCACGACTCGGAAGCTCATCTGGAGCACGACAAATGCCCTATCGGGGACCACGTGTACTACACACCAGAAGCGCCCCCGCGATGATACAGGGATGATACGAGCACAAGGCAAATAAAATATATAATACAATGAAATACAGGCGCATGGCACGCCAAGAAGAGGCAAAACCCCTGCCAGCCAACGCAATCCCTGCAGACCCATTGGATGCACAGAGTGCGCAGCGTACCACATGGGACAGGTGCGTGGAACGTTAGCTGCAGCAGTAACCGCGATGCAGCAGCATCTACAACATGCTTACTGAGGCAACAGTTGTACGCCTCTCTCGGCGGTCAGCATGCCATCCAAACCAAAGCGAGTCAACGTAAGTCGGGCCATGAACCCGTAATACACCGTATGATTCGAGACAGCAAAGGGCCACACATGCAAAGGCAACGGGCACCTGCTGTGTTAGCTGTTTAGAAGGTCTACTTGCTGCTGCTCATCGGCAACAACACGATGACTAGTTGTAACGACCAAACGGGCGAGAAGAGGAAATGCCGCCCGGTGGTTTCAAAATATGAAACAATATGCAACAGGTGTGAACCCACCTGTCCCTGACTCATCGGCCCGGCTTCTTCCTCGTGAGCACCACCACCAATACCACCTCCCACGCCAGCCGCCGTTGCCGTAGGCCCCCGGACATCGGTGTTGCCGCTCTCCTTGTCGACGAAGCTCCAGCCCTCCTCCTCTCGCAGGAACGTCCAGACAAGAGGCAAATCCCTCTCTAGCCGCCTTTCCTCTTCGTCAGCAGCTACCCCCCGCGCAGACGCTTTCCCTGTGCCGGCTCCATTTCTGTCCCCGTCACTATTGGATAGTTTTTCTGCGGCAGTAGACTCACTGCTGCTGTCGTTGGTAGGTTGCGGCTGTGGTCGTTGGCGGGCTTCTTGTGGCAGTTTGCTGGACTTCAAAAACGGGAAAAAAGTCCCTGCTGATTCTTCTTCTCTAGCAGCGCTTGGCGGCTCGGGCTGAGACGGAGCCCACACCGACTGGCGGAACCACGAGAGCCAGCCTCGGCGCTGTGGCTCCGACGCCTCCATGATCGAGGGCTCAAACAGACTGCTGCCCTGACATCGATGGGAGGACAGGATGAGAAGCATCGGCGGGCGGGGGGAACACAGATGGAACGCATGAACGGGAAAAGGGGTATGTCGTTACCTACGTCATTTTATCTGTGTGTTCCCTTTACCGTCAGCTGGCGTAGCTCATGCAACTCATACGCACAGCTGCACAGCAGAGGACAACTTGCAGTAAGCAACAGCTACACAGGTGGGCAAAGTCAGTGTGGGCGTTATGAAGGGCAGCCAGATCTTGCGCTGAAGTTGATGGAGATAACGCACACGCTTCCGCAGCGCAGCTACATAGATTCGAAGCTGCATATATTTTGTTCCATCTTTGGTATGACGTGTCCCTGCGTGTGTTCGAAATGCGGAACACCAGCGATACCTTTTTGGCTCCGACTTGGGTTGCGCAGCGTCCAATTGATTTGGCAAAAGGGGCGCGTTGATGGTGTATGCACGCTGCTGTCTTGCTAGGTCAGTGGGAATGGTCGAGCTGCACGCCATGAGCCCAAATCGCAACAGGTCTTGACATTTCCAAGGGTCAGGTGGTGACGTGCAGATGTGCAGGTCCGCGAAGGACACACACAACGACAATTAATTTGCGGTACGCAGAGATGCATGTGTACGATACCGGGCACTTTGAAGCCGAACGTGCTGTACGTGAACAGCAATGCGCTGCTATTTAGTAGTGGTGGCAGCGGTGTTCGCGAGATACAGCGCCAGAAGTTGCGCCCTCATGGACGTTTACGCCCTTTCGAGGCGGCGTTTTCCAGTCATATTGCTGCCTCCCTGCTCCTCCGTCCATTCTCCCAACAGTTTATGCCGCCGGGGGGCGATCGTGCAGCCCAGAAGTTAAAAAAAATTGCAGCAAAACATGAACGCGCTAAATAAATGTAGAGAATTACTGCAAATGCCCCATGGTATGTGGACTACGTATCATTTTTTTTAAATTAGGTTATTATATTGCTGCTATAGTCTAATGTTCAGCTTTTGCGTTTGGCGGAGAGTCGTGTGTAGGAGATCGGGGGGCAATCTCCAAGAAGAGTATTTACTTGGAGAGATATGCTGTGTGTGTTGTGTCGTGTTTTCGTCCTATTGATTATGGCCACAGTCCCCCCCCCCATTTTTCGTGGTGAGACGTGTGCTACAGTTTCAGCGAATGTAGAGTACAACACTTTTTCAGTGTATTTTTTCGTGCAACCACAACCATCCAGGGCCACACAGGAGGGGGTAAACACCAGGGCTTTTTTCTTCTTTTTATTTCTTTTCATGCCCCATTTTCCTCCTGCGGTGCGTGCTGAATGTTATTTTATCGCGAGAAGGGTCCAGCCGTCCCTTTCCCACGTCAACGGTGCTAACGTCGAAGTTTGGTACTCACGAGAGCTTTTTTGGCTATGTTTCGCTTTCACCCGCAAATTATTTTCACCCCATGGGGATTCGAACTCACGACCTCTGCAACTAGCGGATCACGAGGATACCACCAGACCACCGGGGCGACCGGTGTGTGTATGCATACTTGTACATAGAACAAACACCCCGGCGGCGGGCGAAAAATCGCCGCCCGCATGGCATGCTCTCTCCGACGTAAGCGAACTCCTAAAGAAGTTGCACCCTTGAGGACGTTGGCACCCTTTCGAACCTTGCGTGTCATTTTTGAAAGCAGCCTTTTGTACCTGATGCGTGCAGTATCCTCGCCTTATGCCGCCGCCGAGGGCCATCGTACAAACCGAACACTCATTATAGAGTTTTTCCAACAAAATACTACCGTGCTATGTACTTTATTTTTGTACGCGTACTAAAACGCAGTGACACGCGATGACAACCAAGCCCCCCCCCCCCCCCCCC